CTGTTAAGGTCATCAGACTCACAGTGACTTTCAGCAATCCATTCTATAGGTAATTGTCTTCTTTGGCCTGTCCAAGGAAACCCAAACCTGCAGATGACGGGCATGCATCCCATCCCCCACCTCCTATGCAGGTGGCCAGCAGGGCGTGTGCGCCCCCCACCTCGGGCAGCCAGCAGGGGGCGTGCCACCCCACCACAAGGGTGCTCGGCAGCCGCGCAGCCCCTCTTGTGCAGGCGGCCGGTGGGCACCTGCTTCCCCCACTGCCGCCATCCTGGCTCCAAGAATTCTCTCCAGAACAAGTCCACCTTATGGCAGTGTGGTGGCTTCACTGTACCAGTCTTGAGGAGGACTGGTGCCCAGCATCCATCGTGGGTGAGGGAATCCATTGGTTCCGGCTGTGGAAGCCTCATGGAGCTGCAGCGGCTGTGCAGCGTGTTGCGGGCTCTGCGGGAGGGGGTTGGGAGCCACGAGACTCACCCATTCCTCCTTGGGAATCCTTGAATTCCTGTTGTTGAGCCTCGATCTTCACTGAGGGCCAGTCATCAACTGTTTACATGTTCAATTATCAATAAGCTGAAGTCTGTAGGAGGCCATAATGGCCCTGCTTTAAGTGGTTTGCTGCTCCCACAGCTCACCACGCTGTCTCTGCCTCTGCCACCATCTTGGATCTTCCTGACTATGACATTTATGAAAGCAGATATCTAGTCATTCTATGGAGCAGCTGGACAGGATCTAACTCCCAACTGTGTAGGTAACAGCCAATTGCAGACTACTTGCAACCACCCAAAGATCTACAACTCAAAATGTTCCAGACTAATCAAAATAATTAATTCACAGATGCAGCATAGGCCACCATAGGTATGTTCATTTAACTAAGGTAGAAAATGTCATGAAATCCACATGTTGGCACATTCTAATGAAACTGAAGAACACCAAACATGAAAAGAAATTCTTTAAAGCAATCAGAGAGAAAACAAATCTCAGAGAAGACTACAGAGCTACCACGATTAGTAGACTTGACAGCAAACT